GTATTTTTTTAAAAAAGAATAAAATTGGGGAGAAAAATTCTAAGTTAGGCTCACTCATTCAATAAAAAATACTTCATTTAAAGAGCTCATATACACATGGCTTTATGTATCAGCCATACTGGTATATGAGTGCTTTTGTCTGTCAATCTTTCACAGCGTACAACTGTAACCTGGCACCCTGTCTTGAAAACTTTGGCAGCCCTAGTACTTCTGTTGCTTCTGAGGAACAAATCTCTTGGGTTGCCCTTACAATGCTTTGTCACACTTCATTTGTTGTGTTGCTGAAGTGAGTTATCTGCCAAAGTTGAGATGTAAAATGACTGCTTTAGCTGTGGATTGTCCCACAGACTGAAAACAGTTTGTAAATAACTCCAGAAACCATGTATTTAAGACGGTTTGCATAGAATTGTATATAATGATTTTTAATCAATTTTTAAAATTCATCTTTGTACAATGAAAAGGGGAATTCTGCCTTTTTCCTTGTTAATATGCTGTAGAGTTATAACAGATTCTGTAGATTGTCAGGATATTAAACATTCACAGAATCTGAAGGTCTCAAGTGGGAGACATGTAAAGGGGTCATTTACTTAAGGCTCAATGTCACCTGCAGTTCCATTTTACCATTTTGTCAACCTGTGATTCCAATTCCTTCCATTTTCACAGAGAACTAAAGAAAAAAGTACTCTTGTAAATGCACTTTTTCTGTCTTTTTCTTAAGCAGAGCTATTTCAATGTATGATACAAATTAAGCTCACTTGTGAGCATTAATAAAAGTTACATTTTTAAACCTAGGCCTAATTTAATTTTTTTTAGTTGATTTTGTATATTTGCTGTCAAATCCAATTGTACAAGAGATATGGATTCATAATACATTGTGAGGACTCACATAGAGAGTCATGAAAAGGAAGTATTTGTAACATTTCTACCACTACTTGTTATAATCAAGACTCAGGGCAAATACAGGTTTACCACTTCTATTCATTTGCTCACTCTCACTCATGACCACCCATACATATCTATCTAATGCAAAATCTAGTTGGCCAGGCTAGTTTCAGTTCCAGAAGAAATGAGGCACTTAGCTTCATCATGCTACTGTGTGGTGGCTTTGAAGTACTACAGTTCTCACCCATTTTTATAAACTTACAAGACACAGCCAGTCCTAACCTGAAGCTTTTTTCATACCACTTGGTACTTTTTTACATGAATGCTATAGCCTCTTCCAGCTGACTTACAACATTATGTTTGAGAACTATCTCTTGTTTCATCATTTTAGAGGTCTCATTCTTTTTATTTGCTGCATAAACTGAAATCTTCCAGAATAAACCCTTCTGCCTCTATGATTGTCAGGTTCAGCCCAAGAAACTCCACA